GTTTACGCCAAGAGAGCCTGCACTTTTAACAAGCTTTTGAGGTAATGCTGTTTGAAGATCTGGACAAGCGTTTTGTTTTCGAACCTATGAAGTAAAACTAATTTCGATAGCTTTTGTTGTGTCTGCTTACAGTTAATTTTTTTTATCATTTTGTCCACCACCTCAAAATAATTGTCTTTTCAAAAACATTGCGTGGGTTGTTTAGTGAGACTTGCTGTGCTCTAACTGAAGTCTTACACGATTATATCGGTAGAAATCTTCAAAAAGTACTTTTACGTTTGGAAAAGAAAGAAAAGTACTCTTAGAATTGCAAGAAACAATTAATTAGATCAATCACACTCGACTTCTATCAGTTTTAACAGTTTTTGCCGATAGAAGTATCGCATTAAGTAAAAGACACCTCATAAAGGACTTTTTTAAACTTAGATGCAGTCCCTAACATCTTTGCTCCAGGAGAGGATTCGCTAAAATTTAACAAACTGAGCGAGTTGGAATTAGAGAGAAATAAGAGAACAGGGTATCCAACTACCAAATGTTTCCAAATACGTCAGAAATGCCTCAATTAGTGTTTTCTGTATGCTTTAGAAGCCTGTTTGGTTAATTTGGAGCTGCCCTTAAAACTATTCACCGTTTCGGTTGACTTAGGAAGAAGTTTCCCCGTGTCGAAATTTTTAGGTCGCTTTTTCATCTCATCCGAAACTGTCAGCTACCCCGATAGGTCCGGTGGAAAGTTCCGTCCTCTCATTAGAAAATTCTAGGAGACGTTTTGACTTTATACCGAAATTTTCAGGAGACCCAAGTTCGTAATATCTTGGCAATAAAATGCGAAAAACATAGCCTCCAAACATCGTAGGTATGTGGAAGGTATGTTAATAATAGTAGATTTACCTCCGAATATCGTGGACGAATGGAGCGGTTAATTTTCTATCCTTTCCGGAACTTTAGAAATTTTTAGGCAACATTTGCTCACTCAAACAACCCATCGGAGTGGGGTGCACTTATTTAGACCCAGTTTACACTGGTCCAGACAAATTTTTGAACGGATAAAAACTTGCACGAGTCCGCCTTTCGTTTACACTGTATCTGCAGAACCGTGCAAGGTTTTTAGCGGCAAACATTACTACAATCTGTAACAGAATTTGCATCCGTGTTCCGTGTAAACGGCCTGTTGCTGCACAGGTAAAAAAACACCGAGAAGAGAGTTGAAAATACGACGCGCAGCGGAGTATTTTTGACGAACTTCGAGGTGTTTCATCTGGTGATGAAACACTGTGTCGAATGTTTGATATTTCTTCTCAAACAAAATCATTTTTGAAGGAGAAATTAAGGATGCAAATACTAAGCAGTGTTTCATCCGATTTCCAAACACTCATTAAACATTAATTTCCTTTGTATTTTCTTAATGAATTATTAATGAGTTTGAGAAAAACTTTTTCATGATCATAATTGATTATTTAAAAAGAGTGGTTGCCACTTTTTTGATTGCAAATTTTAATAAGATTTGCCGATACTATTTTTCTTTCATGTATATAATATAAACCCGTGGAAGTGACAGGAAACTAGCTCTGCTGGGAGTCGGACACTGTAGTCTTTCCTGATGGAGAGACGCCGAACGCGCAAGTTGATATTGATAAAATATAATAAGCAGTAGCATCACTTTTTGCAGTCCTTTTGCGCTGGAATTAAACAAAGTTAGATCTTGTTTAAATTACTAGATCTAATATTTACGATTAACAGCAATAAAAAGCCCAGAGCTACTTACCTAGGATTTTTTCCCACAGATTAATTCGAGAAAAAATTTCTTGTGTTGACCAGTCAAGAAGAACCAAAGAAAATGACATTGCTTCCGTGACAACAGGAATGTATGATATAGTAACAGCAGGTTGGTAATAGAATACCTGAATTTTGGCATTAAGTGCGTCTACTCAATTAGCTCAGTGTGACATCAAAGCGAAATACATGTTGACGATATATGAAGTCTATTTAATTAGTTTATTCCAAATTCCAATTCGACCAGGAATCAGGCGGAAGAAGAACCACAATAGTGGATGTGCTACCTCTAAATCATTATTTAATTATTTATTCATGTATTTATTATTTATTCACTCAAAGTTATTTTGAAGATTTAACATTAGACGATATCAGACTTGCCAGATTTAGAAGATTTCTGATAGGAATCGTAAGCAATGTACCCTGCAATTAGCCTGTTCCAGGCTCCGAGATAGTGGTGAAAAGTCGTTCAGTAAATTCCCAAGTCGCGCGCGTCTTATTTTCGCTTTGCTCGTTTAATACGTCCCCACTATACTATCTGAGAGCCTGGCACAGGCTACCCTGCAATGTGCGCGTTCATCAGTGCAATAGCTACTAAATGAATGAGCCCACCAACTTGACAGCCAGCATCCTCTGGAGTGCTACATATTGTTAAAAGTGACTTAGGTTTAGTCAGGGGCACCCAACGACGGTTTTCTCCTAAATACATTGGAAAAACTTTTTAGGCTATCCAGAGTATTTTAAGATATCTAGAAATGCACTCTTTTCGGCGCTATAAAATTTGTATGTACATGTTCGGTCATCCTAGTGGAACTTTCGTCCTTTGGAAATGACAAGGGCTTGAGAATTTTTTGTCCCAAAAATTTGGGTGAAATTTGAGATACAACGAAAATTAGACATTCCCGCTTAATTTTTAACGCCATCCCATTTTTGAATCGGAAAATTTTAGGTTCCCTTTTCTGTATTGAAAAAATGGCCTTACTTGGGAAGACAAATGTTAAAATTAAGCTTGAGAAAATCGTAAGGAATTTATACGATATGCCTCGAAAATGGTACATGAACGGAACGGTCATGTGGAAATTTTTAGCCGTCGTCCGGTTATAGAAAATTGTAGGCAATATTTGCTTCTCCGAACAGATATTGTACCGGAAAAGAGTCGTTGGGTGTTCCCGCTTAGTTTACGCCGTAGGAAAATTCGCCTTCCCATCTAAAACTAGACACATGAAAATATATAATAATATATAGATTTAGCCAGGGCTAAAAGCGAAGCTCCCATTAATAAATTTAGAATTTAAATCAAACAATAAACTTGTAATCCACAAATCAGTTAACTTTAAGGGAAAGCTAAGGCTAAGTGATTTTAGAATGAAAAAAAAATCTTACATCGAATTGATAGCCGTATATATACACCCAAAAAATAGCAAACATCTTCGATCACATTTTAGAGCCATAATGGCTCTTGATCACAGTAGATTAGGCCTGGAAAACGAATGTTTGGAAAACAAATCAGGCCGAATTTTTTGATTTCGACAAGTTTACTTAACAAAAACTTGCCAACAACTCTGGGAGCGTGTAAACCAACATTTCATACTTTTTACACATCACATCTGAAACAGTGATATGAGGCGTTGTTTTTATCATATAGACCTCAGACAAAATGCAGTATTTCACAATTTTTCAAGACAAATTGCACTCATTCAATATTCAGAACCGTACGAAGCACTCGTGGGCTTTTAGCAAAACCGTTCAAATAATTTCCAAAATCATATATACGGCCAGCCGGTTCTCACTTTTGACAAGCGCCAAATTTTCAGTGAACATTAAAAGAGTTACGCTTCAACGTAATAAAGAATTTATTGTGTTTATTTTTTTTATTAAATGGTTTTATAACGATGTGCAATCTTAAAAAGCGTTTGATACGAGCAGCATTTTGACTACTCCTACAAGCGTTGTTTATGAACGACTGAAAACAAACTGCAAAGCGATTAAAATTGTAAGAGACTACTAACAATCAATAAAAGAAATGTAATTCGGTGAAACATTTACAGAGACAACAATTTTCATTCACGAAGACAAGTATTAAAGCGTCTCTAAAAACTGAGTCTTTAAGCTTAAGCTTAAAGCTTTTAGCCGGCTTCCTGTTGTTTACTGTTTTCAAAGATGAACTCGAGGCAAGAAAACCGCTCAAAGCTTTCTTTCTACAGCCAAAATTATAACTAAATACTCTTCGGAAAGTTTTTTCGTTCTATATGCGGAGAGAAAATATCGACTAAAGGCTTTTTAAAGTTCTGTAAGCTTATATATACTAGATCAGATCATTGTCTCAGATCTTAACACAAACGTGCATAAATTAGCCTGATAAACTGCGCTCGACTTCATGAAATTAGATATAAAAAACAAACATACACTGTATACAATAATTACTTAGGCTTACCATTCGAGATGCAGCTCTTGAAAGCTATAAAGTAAGGCCAGAATTGCTTGAGGGACTTTTCAATCCGCATCCAGCAAGGTAAAAACGAAAGCGATGCATCCGAAATCGGATTTCCAACTTTGGCAACCGGCGCATTTCTCGACCAAAAATTCAATAAACAAACCAGCCATGAATCAAAGAAGACTGTTGATAGCAGCCGTATTTCATTTTAAGCATCCAGTGGAAAAAGACAGTAAAAGACATCACAGGTTGACAAAATACTCTGTCAGCTTCAGCTGTCAATCGCCCCATGTAAGGTAATCCGGAATCCGGAATCCAGGTAATTTTGGTCTGTGGAATCCGGAATCCACGGCTTTTGAATCCGGAATCCAGCTAATGGCATCCGGAATCCAAGCATTGTAATCCAGAATCCAGGTTGCTGGAATCCACTCTGTTGTGATGGTTCCAGGGCCTCTTCTTTTCCTTTAGCGACTGTTGCGTGAAAATCTCATGTCGCAAGGACGCGCAACAGGCATGTTCACGCGTGTTTTACTCGCAGGAACATCCCTTGTCATTGTGACATATCGGGTATCAATTTGAAACAATGGTCACATTATAATGACGTGACAGAATCCCAGGGAGTGATTCATATTACTGTATATTATCGCTCTTTATAAGACACCCTTTCGACCTTTTTCCCCGTTGCGCTTTTGGAGTCGGAGGTTTAGATTCTTTCCTGTTTGGGCGCAATTGGAACTAATTTTTGGATTTCAGGTAACGTCAAAAGAATAATAATATAAAGTATCCTTATTCTTGGCCGCAGTATCAGTAGTCGCGGTGGTTGCAGTTACTGGCTTCTTTCAGGCACATGTCATCAGTGTCACTCAAAGAATGACATGCTGCACGTGATGTCGACGTGGTGTCTTTCATTCAGTCCAGATTCAATCAGTCGAAATCAGACATCTCGAGAGATCACTTTGAATTTTTTTCTCAATCGATCGTTAACAATCTTTGTCAGCATGGGGAAGCACAAGAAAAAGCATGAGTCGGAAAGGTACGTACCTCTATAAATTCGGTGTTTGTGACTTTGTGAAGGAAATGTTTTGGCGGCGTGGTTTTGAATAGATCAGAATGTGTGAAACAGTAATCTAAAACTTCGAGCAGCTATATCTGTCTGTTTCTATCATGTTCAGAATTATGAGCTAGCTATCTTGCAAATTTATGTACAGGAGTCCAAGAAAGAAAGAGAGAAAAGCGGAGAAAGAAAAGAAAAGTTCAAGGTCTGTGGAGTTGTCGTTGTTTGTTCTATTCGTGTTTTCTGCTCAAAAAGCGGTGGTTGTGCGAACACTTACTGAAGCGTTTCTGTGATCAAAATTATATTCGAAGGTGACAGCGTTTCCATACCATTTACAGACATGCTAATTAAATAGAGCATTTGATCAATGAAACGAACATACCAAAGTGAATCCAAAGTAAATTATCGAATTTACTTCACCGTAGAGCTCCGGAAATTGCTTGAAAAGGTCTTCTTCGCCCTTGTAGTTTGTGCATGAGAGAAGATAAAGTATGCACAAGACTGTTCCTATTGGTTTGGGCCACTGACTGCGATCCCAAGCAAAAGAGCTTTATGAATTCCATGCTAGCAGACAGTCTGTACCCCTACCAAGTCCCTATTCCTGACTGCCCACACAACATCAAGTCAGTACGTTCTACAGAGTTTTGGCATTGGATTGACATTGATGGATACGTAGAGAATACGAAGACATCAAGAAATCAGTTTCATTGAAAGCAGTTCGAAACAAAGATCGGATGGATGTAGAAACAGCAGTGGAGATTCACCGGAAAGCGATTCAAGATTCCATCCCAGATGAAAGAGTGAGCACAACATTAGTTCCAGAACTGGAATTCAAGCACTGGAAAAATAACAGGGCCTCTCTTTTAAGCTACCCGGTAGGATTGGCATTCTCCCCAAAGCATAGCGGGCTGTTTATTACCGATAGACGTCTCCATGCAGTCTTCATGGTTGACATGCACTGTCCAGCAAATGTCACATTAATCGCTGGTGGTGGTGAGCCCGGGCACTCTAATGGATATGGCAACAAGGCCAGATTTAGAAACCCAGCTGGTATTGCGGTGGAAGAGAGCGGGAAGCTGTACGTTTGTGACCAAGGAAACGGAAGAGTTAGAGTAGTCAATTTGCGAACGCTTTTCTGTCACGCTTCCCAGATTGTACAAGGGAGCGCCGAAGAAAGCCAAAGTGAGGAAGAAGATTGCGCCGGTAGACGTATCCGTAAAGTCCATGTACACGATCTTTCCCTTATTTCTGAAGGTAATGTACCGGATCTGGTGTCACCATTTGCCATATGTGCGTCTGCAAAGGGTAGCGTTGAACTGTTTGTGTCAGACGTTGGTCTTGGCAAGATTTTTTCAATTTCAGGTGTTGTAGACGATGAGGAAACTAACTGCGTCGGCCAGTTAAATGAATTGTTTTGTTTTGATCGATCTAGTTTATTAACTTCATTAGCCTTAACACGTGACGAGCAATACTTGTTAGTTGGAGACGGGAATGGTTCATGTATTCATCTTTGTCAAGTGAGAGGACGATTGAAACTGAGAACAATTTCGAATATTCCAGGCCTCATGGGTATTGCAGTGACAGATGGTGGGACCGTGTTCTTGTCCTCCAGCAAAGAACACGCACTGTTCAGTTTGAAGGAAGAAGAGATGCTTGGGGGTAAAGAAACCCTAACAAAAGTGTGTGGAGAAACTGCAGGCCATCGTGATGGCGTCCAAAGTCGATGGAACAAGCCTACTGCTTTATGCGTATATCGAAACACTGTTTTCGTATGCGATACCGGTAACGTAGCAATAAGAATGTTGACGTCAGCAAAGGGACTGATCCCCCTGCAAAGTAAGATGGCCCAATATGCAAACGTGTTCCGACTCAACAAGAAAGCCAAAGAAGAAGACCTACCACGTACATTTGAAGATCATGTGAAATCTGTCGAGGAGTTGGTTGCATTTCTCTCTAACCACGAACAGGAAGCCCTGGAGAGGACGGGCAAGCGAAATACCAACGGTCCCGACATGACCATACCTCGATGCACCCGACAGTCCTTCCTCAAAGTGCTAGAATCGCTGACCAGCCTTACCAACACGCTAGCGGAGATTGGGCATAGTCACCTTCTGGACAGGATCTGTTTCGAAAGTATGACAACTTTGGGGGTGGAATGCTATTTCAAAGGAATGCGAGCAGACCACGACATGCCTACAGTGGCTAACTACGCTTACAGAAGAGTGCGCTGCGTGGAAGACGA